TTCTCTTTGGAACATTTCTGTTTTGAGATAGGATTCATGAGGTCCATTGTCTGTATCACAAGTCCTGTCCTCTAAATCTATAGACCAGAATTTGTTTTCCTCAGAGAGACTAAAAAAATTCCTGCATGACAACATGGCGACTCCCACGGTCAGGGCAAGCTACTCTAACAGGCGATTGCTTTATCATAAAAACCCACACGGAGCAGCAGGCCTGAGAGATGCGTTGGAAAATACCAGCATGTAGGATTCTCACTGAGCACCTGCCAGTTCCACGTTCCCTGAGATTCTGCCCAATCTCTTTAGAGCTTTCTTCACAAAACTCCATCAGCTAAAAGGAAAATGAAGGCTGCTTTGTGCTCACTTTTTTGAGTTTAATACACATTTGCTGTTTGTATTCCTTTTCTTGTCTGAAGGAAAAGAAATGTGCTGGATAATCTTGCTGCGGTTGTGCCTCATTTTACTCTCTGAGTTGTGCTCTTCCGAAGGTCAAAAGCTTAGCAAAACATTGTTACAAAAATGCCGTAATTAAGATTCATTTAGAAAAGCTTGGAAAAAAAATGCACCTAAGATGATTATCAAGTTATGACTCAGCCTAATCATGTAAATCTTCAGTTTCATAAGAAGCTCTATTTAAAAATACCTCTACTGTTCTCCCCAGGAAAGTTACACTATGTATAGAGAGATTAAGAAAAATCTGATATCTTGGAGGCTCAGAAGTTCAGAGGTGAGATATTTGGGTTATAAGACCATTAAGGATTTTATAGCCAATTCAGGGTTGTGGGTTGGATACAGTTTATATATGCAAAAATTGTTTTTGCAAAACAAGTCTTTGTAATTTATCTGCCCTGCCTGATAATTTCTCCCCTCTTCTCCCCTTAGAGCAGTGACAGGCATTTGAGTCAGCTGGAGGGCTTGTTAAACCCTAAACTGCTCTCAGAGATTCTGACTCAGTAGACCTGGGAGGGAGTTCGAAATCACATTTCTTTTTCCTTTTTTTTTTTTTTTGAGCTGGAGTCTTGCTCTGTTGCCCAGGCTGGAGTGCAGTGGCACGATCTTGGCTTACTGTAACCTCCACCTCCCAGGTTCAAGAGATTCTCCTGCATCGGCCTCCTGAGTAGCTGGGATTACAGGCGCCTGCCACCATGCCTGGCTAACTTTTGTACTTTTAGTAGAGGTAGGGTTTCACCATGTTGGCCAGGCTGGTCGTGAACTCTTGACCTCAGTTGATCCAACCTGCCTTGGTCTTCCAAAGCGCTGGCATTACAGGCGTGAGCCACCACGCTCAGCCTCGAAATCACATTTCTAACTAGTTCCCCGATGACATTGATGCTGCTGGTCTGGGGTTACACTTTGAGGACCATTGATCTAGATCATTGTCAACTTGGCTGCCTATTAAAATTACCTAGGGAACTTGAAAAATTCCTCAACACTTGGCCACCAGACCAGTTGAATCAGAAAATCTCTGTTGAGAGAGTCTGGGCTTAGAATGTTTCAGAAGCAACCCAGGGTGATACTGATGTGCAGCTGGAGTTGAGAATCTTTGTTCTGGATGAAACTAAGTTAAATAGCTGCCTTCAAAAATCATGATACTAAAGCAGTTAGCAGCAGGTGCCCACAAATACTAGCAGTCCTTCCCAAATGTGATTTGCAGGCTGTATATTGGAATCACTGGGTGCTTGCTGAACTGCAGACACCTATGCCCTCTGGCTGGTCAGCCCCGCTCTGCAGGGTGGCATTCTTCTGAGTCAGTGAGTAGCAGTTTCTGGAGGGAGTTTGTGCTTCAGCAAGATTACAAAAGACACTCAGGGAGTTTTTCTCTGTCTGATAGCTGGAAGGGCAGTCTGAGTCGCTGAAGGCTCACATCATGGTTTGGCATATGATAGCCAGTCTGTCCATACTTGTGGACAATGAATCATTTTAGATTTTTAAAAGAAAGGCATTAAATGCATGTTTCTTATTGCTTTTCCCAACATTTTCTCATTTAAGTCCTAAAGAGTAACCAGGTCAAGGCTGATAGAATTATCTGGATTTTTACAGATGAGTAAACCGAGGCCCAAAGAAGTTAAGTAAATTTCCCAAAGTCACAAGACAAAAGAGGGCAGAGCTGTGATTTGAAGTTGATGCTGTTTGACTCCAAAGGTAAGGGCCCCTCCCACCTGACTGCTTTTGCAAAATGCCTCTGGTGCTTCAGGAGCCATAAATATTCTGCAGAACTGGCTATAGAGTTTTCAATGCAAAATGAAAACATTGGGGCCTCTTGTTCAGAAATTATTAAAAATTCAAGATGGCAGCAGCAGAGCATTAAACCAAGCATGGGACCCTGTGCACAGCTGTATGCCCATGAGGCCAGTCCTGATGTTATGTGTTGAGCTCTACCGAATGTTCTAATGAAATGAGTCTGCTCAGAGGCACCGTGGTGGGGTAGTAGGAGCCCCAGATTTGAGCATGGGTATGCCAAATTCTAGTAATAGCTCTTTGAATAACTTCCTGTTGACTTTGAGCATGTTATTTAACTCCTTGGAGGTTCGGTTTAGTCATCCATAAAATAGAGAGAGGGAGAAGTAGGAGGGAGGTGGACTATATCAGTATTTCTCCAACTCCAGTTACTTATATAACACATTTTTAGTATATAACCATTTAGGCTATAACCATGGCCTCTGGCTTCACACTCCCTGAGTTCTAATCTTGGCTCTTCCATATTCTAGCTATGTGACCACTGGCAAGTGCCTCAGTTTCCTCATCTGTAAAATAGAGACTGTTGTGAGGATTAAATAAGTAAAATAAGTAAGTAAAGCCCACAGAATAATGGCTGATATGTGATAAGTTTGCATAAGTGCTAATTATTACTATTCCTATGAATCATATGGTACCTGTGCTATAGAACTAATGTTTTTCCTTTAATATGACTCACATTTTAAATTAAAAACATCATCTATAGTCTCTTTGCAAGTATTTGTGAAATCACAAGATTTCATGTGTATGTGTGGTTTTTCTAACACAGGTGAAAATGTGTAATAACTATACAATATTTTTAAAAGCTCATTCATATGCTGTCTAATACCAGCTGAGAATATTACCAATGGAATGGGCACCACACTGTGGGTAGCATTGTACTAGACACTGAAGGCCCTTTTCAGCTTTAACAGTCTATGAATAAATAAGTTTATGTGTATTTGTGTCTGTGTCTTTATTAATTTGACAAATATATGGCTAAAATATTTCTACCCACTTCCATCACTTCTATCTAGAGTAGAATCTTTGCATTGGCTAGCTACATGTTCCAGTAGAAAAATGTTTAGAGATAAGAAATTTTATTAAAAATTTTTTTTTTAATTAAAAATTAAAACACAAATTTTTTTTGAAATGGAGTCTTGCTCTGTCTCCCAGGCTGGAGTGTGGTGGTGTGCTCTTAGCTCACTGCAACCTCCACTTCCTGGGTTCAAGCGATTCTCCTGTCTCAGCCTCCTGAGTAGCTGGGATTACAGGCAAGCACCACCATGCCTGGCTAGAGACAGGGTTTCGCCATGTTGGCCAGGCCATTCTAGAACACCTAAACTCAGGTGATCTGCTTGCCAGGCACTTGGCTCATGCCTGTAATCCCAGCACTTTGGGAAGCAAAGGCAGGCAGATCATTTGAGGCCAGAAGTTCAAGATCAGCCTGGCCAACATGGTGAAACCCCATCTCTACTAAAAATACAAAAATTAGCGGGGCGTGGTGTTGCTTGCCTATATACCCAGCTACTCGGGAGACTGAGGCAGGAGAATTGCTTGAACCCAGGAGGCGGAAGTTGCAGTGAGCCATGATCAAGCCATTGCACCCCAGACTGGTTGACAGAGCAATACTCCATCTTGGAAAATGAATGAATGAATGAATGAATGAGTCTTTTTGGCCTTGCTTGGGCTAAATGACTCATGTGTATTTGTCTTGCCTCTCCTTTAGGCAGGGGTTAATATTCTGTTCCCCAAAGCTTCTAAGGATTCTCTTTAGCTAAGAATTTGTTATCAGGGACCCCAGGGTTACCAAGTTGTACAGGGGACATACAAATAGTGACTAAGGAACCTTAATATGAGTCTTCCCTTAAACTTCTCAAGTTATTACTATCATCAATCCCTTGCCACCTTATGGACATCAGAGATTGTCCTAGATGATAAACATGTACTACAAATACAATAGAAATGGATCACAAAGTAAAATTAGAAATCTTACAAAAGGTACAGGACTTCTTGAAGTCCATGAAAGTGAGTTTAGAGAACAATTTGAATTCACACCCAAAATTGTGCATAATTGAGGACCTAAGAGAGTCATATTAGTTATTAACAGCAGGAGAGAGAAAATCAATAAGGACGGTGGCATGATGGCTACTTCCCAAGTGAATGATCAGGATGTCAAAGGATGAAGAAAGGACCTTGGGATAAATGAAAAACTTTTGAATCTTTTACAAAAGTCAGTATGAAGTGAGAGATGTTAAATGATGCCATGATTCAATTTTGTCAGAAAAATGATGCCAAAAAATCCACACTTAATTCACACTTTGTTCATTTAAAAATTAGAGCATAATTGCTATTTTAATTTAATTTTGTGAAATCTGAGATAATTTTTCATGTTTTTTATTTTACAATTCTTAGTTTCTATGATAAAAATTCCAACCAAATGTCCCCACCCCAATTATACTATGCTATTTTTGTGCCATCAAAAATGTGGATTCATTTTAAGTGGACTTTTTCTGGCATTAATTATCCTAATATAGAAAGAACTTTCAGCAATTCAGTAAAGTGAGGGGTTAATCAACATCATTTTTCCAGAACCAATGACTAAGACCATTACGGGCAGAAAGGGAACAACTGGCTTTATTGACTCTCATGCAGAACACAAGGGTCCATAGAACCAGCCAGATTTCTCCAGGAATGGAGTTGCTTAGTCCAGCTAGGAGGTAATTTTCGGATAAGCATGCTTAAGACCTTAAAAGGGAACTCTCAAGGCTCCAAAGGAAGTTGCTTACCCACAAAGCACCAGACCGCAAACCGGATCCATGTGATGGTGGAGAGCTTTAGCATGAGATAGATGTTCACCAGCATGGCAAAGGCAGGCACAAAGGGGAGGCAAGGGGCCATGTAGGGAAGCTTCTTGGGGTTCTCTGGCTGCTGCAGGATCACAAACACCAGGGTGCTGATCAGCAACACCATCAGAACAACCAGAAGGATGGCCCACCAGCTCTGCTCTGAGATGTAGTCAGAACCAAAGATGATGAAGGAGCAGAAGATGAACATGAGGATGAAGAGCAGGAGCACGCAGATGGTCACCGTGTGCCCTGTCGCTGCTGTGGGCCGGTCCATTTTGCCTGGAAGGCCCAGCCGGATTCTCATGGTGTAATAATGAGGCCCGATCAGCTTCTTTAACTTGATGAGATAAATATTTTCAGATTCATCAGCTTCTATGCCTGTGGTCATGTCCACGGTGCCGTAATTGGGGTGGTTGACGTTGTAGGTTGACTTGTCTGATTTCCCTATGAGCATCTCATTGTCTCCCAAGGATGGTAAATTCTTGGCCCCACATGTATTGGTGGCTGGGCCAGAAAACTCATCCCCTTCACTCACAGGAGAACAAGCGTCCTTCTCACAGTCAGCCAGAATGCCCTCTTTCTTCTTGGTGTGCTCCTCAGACAAGAACTTGACAAAACCGTCAATGTCACTCTCGGGTTGGTATCGAAGGAGCAAGACACAGACAGAGACCAGGGTGTAGGCCAGGAGCGTGCCGATGGACATCATTTCTATCAGGTCTCTTAAGCTGACCAACAGAGCGAGGAGCGCTGCTAGGAACCCCGACACGATGCAGGCTACCACCGGCGTCTCTGTGTAGGAGCTGACATGAGCCAGGAACCTGGAGGGGCCATGTGAGCAGAGGGTTAATGGTGGGCTACAGTGACCAATTCCAGGGAGCTAAACTGTCAATAGGCTGGTGGGATCAACTCCTCCTGGTCTTGCTCCCCTAATTTACTTCTGCATTCACTACTTTAAATTCAGCTGCTATTTCTACCCCAGGATTTGGAATATAATGAAAAGAGAATTCACTTTAATTCTTTGATTTTTTTTTTT